TACAGACAATGGCTATCCTTATCTAAAGCTAAGCATGTTGTAAAAAGAAAAATTCCGAGTTTCTGTTTCATATCAGGAGTTATCTGGTATGGGACAGAAAGAAGAAAGAATTTAGGAAAAGTTTTACTATGGTAACTTTCATTGAATATACTTCTATATAAATAATATTTAAGTTTTCCACAATTAACAATAAATTTTCCTGCAGTAATCTTTGAAGTCTCCAGGAAGAAGATGGGCCCCACAATAACAATTCTACCTGATTGATGTCATAAAGCTGACAGCACCACTTTAAGATTAGTTTTGGGTTACAAGCTGCTTAAGGTGATTCCAACTTGGCTAGCTGACATAGTGTACCTTCTTACAACATTCTGGCCAGAACTTCAAATAAGAAGTTCAGAAATAACCCAACCAACTACTCAGAGATCATCTGCAATTGTACCAGAAACTTAACTATCATTTTAGTTTTTATAGGATCCCATAGAAATAACATTGCCTTCATAACAGCTGGAAGTAATTCTATAAGACTATGTCCCCTCTCCCAACCAAGTTTGTCCTCAGGGTTAGGTCCTGTGGGAACTCCTTTAGCCAATAGCCTTTAAGATACTATTAAATACTTGGGCATACTATTAAATGCGACTTGGGCATAGTCTCTTATACTATAATGCAGACATAAAACTTGCACATGCACTCTCTCTCAGCTGCTGGATTTGGTTCTTATTCCCCACTTGTGCAGAGAACTGTGATCTGTGAGTCTATCTCTAAATAAAAAACCCTTTATGATATTCAATTCTGAACTAGACTACTTTATAGCATCCATCCACATCTGGTGTGCCAACGTGGGCTGACTACATCCACATAAAACCTGAGAGAGCTTGGAAAGGAATTATAGATAGAAAAGAACAGAGTTTAGTGCAGCTTCTTGGCAGCTGCATTTTACCCCAGATGTGCTGTTTGCTAGCAGTGAGTAGTGGTGCTGTGACTCCTTTAAGAGAGGTCTTCCTGATTCAGCTTTGGCAGAAAAAAAAAGCCCATGCAGCTTCTTTAAGAAATGGTAGCTTCCTGGTTCTTGCTAGTTGCACGAACAGCTCTGGCTCTTTCAGGAGGCTAAGCACTTAAATGGAGTCTGTGAGCAGCCTGTTACAAATTGCTGAATGGTGACATAGACTATGATCTTGGAGCCAGGGCAGTGTGCACAGCTCCCAGAGGCAGTGAACATACCTCTGCCATGTTGCACTGGATGGAGCCAACAGGTAGGGCCCTGGAGTTGGTCCTAGCCATGCCTACTTAGCATTTAAAAGGAAAAATGTACTCTTTGTCAAAAAATAATTACAGATACACAATAAAGACAGATTCAGAAAAAAAAGACCTCTAAATGGGTCACAGTATTGGATAAATGTACATAGGCTTGAGACAGAGAGGAAAAAGAGAATAGACAGATATAATATAAAAGAGTACAGACAGTCATAAGTTAAAGGAGTAAAGATGATAAAATAAATATCAAACTTATAAAAAATAAGAGTAAGAAAAATAAGCCACGTAAAGATGGAATATATACACAGAGTCTGGATTATGTATACTATTGCGTTTTCTTTGAATTTTTTGCCTGTGAATGAGCTAAATACAGAGAAACATTTCATTGTATGGGCTGCTAAACTAAACCAACATATACATTTTAAAGGTATCTTGACTTCAAAATTTGGGTCTGATGGTATGTTGCTTTAAAAAGGAGGCTCTGCTTTTGTTTTCAGAGGATAGAAATCTGTGAATTCCTTTCTGGTTAATATGGTTTGACCAAACAAGACCCCCTGAAGCAATGGCCCAGATGGTCCAATATCCATGACAGCTTCAGGACTGCTGGCTGAAATGGACCTATCACACAGGATACCCCATAAAAGACCTGATTAACAGTGCCCAAATCAGCAGGAAGTAGTCTAGAGAACAATGCCCAGATTCCCTAAATGTTTGTAAATGTTTGTTTACCTTTAAAGGGGGATATGCTATGGAGATGAATTCTTTGATTTGGTATGGACCTTGGTTTATTGATACAAATTTAAGGTCAATTTTGTTATATGTATACTTCTACTCTTGATTAAAGTATTTTGTTTGTGCAGCTCATTTAAAAATGTAATGCAGTTTTAAAATACAGATTAATAGATAGTCATTTGTAAACTTGTAATAGTCAAACTTATAATCATGTTAGTTAGGTTTTCTAGATGTATAGAGATATATTTCAGATGGATAGGTATTCTTCAAATCTTTCAAAGACTTAACAGAATATGGCATTTGAACTGTTTTAAGAACTTAGGACTTTTCATGACAGTGAGACACATCTGCTCCTGGCAGCACCAATCCACTTCAAGAGGAAGATGGGCATTGAAGAGGCTCCTTAAGGAGTTCATTAACCATTTGGGCAAAAAAATTGCTCTTGCCTGGACTGCTTGATTGGTATGCTGTATGAAGTGAACATGCAGGACCCACAAAAAAAAAAAAAAAAAAGACTGCTGAACTTGCCTAAAGAAGGTGAGACAGTCCTGCAGGGTTCCTGTTTCATAGAAGAGTCTGCCAGTCATTCTTCATGACACAGAAAAAAGTGACTGACAAATTGCCAATACAGTCAGAACTGTCTTTTAAGTTTCCTGCTTCATGGAAAAGTTGGGCAGATACTATGGGCCGGTAGGCTGAAGATGGGTGCCCCAACATTACAGAACTTTGGATGCTCTTTTTCATGGCGCCTCCTAGGTGGTCGGCTGTATGAAAATGAAGCTGAATATCTTCTTCCCTGCCACTGGCTATCAGAAACTCGTCAAAGAGGACGATGAACGCAATTCTCAGACATTCTAGGAGAAGCGCATGGCCACAGAAGTAGCTGCTGTTGCTCTGGGTGAAGAGTGGAGGGATTATGTGGTCTGAATCAGTGGCAGCAATGACAAACAAGACTTTTCCATGAGACAAGATATGTTAACCCATGGCAGAATGTGCCTGCTATTGAGTAAGGGCCATTCTTGTTATAGACCAAGGAGAACTAGAGAGAGGAAACCCAAGTCTGTCTGAGTATGCATTGTGAATGCCAATCTGAGTGTTCTCAACTTGGTTACTGTAAAGAGAGAGAGAGAGAGAGAGAGAGAGAGAGAGAGAGAGAGAGAGAAAGATATTCCTGGACTGACAGATACTACTGTGCCTCGTTGGTTGGAACCTAAAAGAGCTAGCAGAATCCGAAAGCTTTTTAATCTATCTAAAGATGATGATGTCCGCCAGTATGTTGTCAGAAAACCTTTAAACAAAGAAGGTAAGAAGCCAAGGACCAATGCACCCAAGATTCTGCATTTTATGACTCTACATGTCCTGCAACACAAACACCAGCGTATTGCTCTGAAGAAGCAACGAACAAAGAAAAACAAGGAAGAGGCTGCAGAATATGCTAAACTTTTGGCCAAGAGAATGAAGGAAGCCAGAGAAAAGCGCCAGGAACAGAGTGCCAAGAGGCGAAGGCTGTCCTCTCTGAGAGCTTCTACTTCTAAGTCTGAGTCCAGTAAAAAATAAGTCTTTAAAGATAACAAATAAATGATCAGACCTTGAAAAGAAAAATAAAACAAACAAATAAAAAAAGAACTTTGGATGACTGTCCAGGCAGCAAGATGTCTCTGTCAATTCTAGAGTTTTGGAAGTTGCTTACAATGCACTTCCTGTTAACTTAGGTAACATCATATCCTTCTGGAGTCTTTGATGGAGTTGAAGAACAGATAATTATAGTTATCCTTTTCTTATTTATTATAAAGATAGATTAGATATAAAACTTTAGACTCACAAAGATAAGTGATAGAGTATTGTGGCGAGCATTCCACGCCACGGGGTCTGCATCACCACCCACCTGGTATGGACCATGACTCCAACCTTACACGAGCTGGATAAAGTCCTAGGGGTTAAACACAAGACGCACAACACAGATAGTTCAAGTCATTCTCCAGGGAGAGAATGCCCGTTTATTCAAACTTAATCCGGGGTTAAAATACCCTTTGGCCCCAGTAAAGGAAACCCCTCCCAGCCAGAGGGGGATGGGGAAGCTGGCGCTGAGCTGTGAGGAGTGTAGGGCAGTGTCAGGCAGGTTGAGAAATTACCATTTTAAAGTGATATAGAGCCCTAGGCTATTATACCAGGCTATAGCAGAACAAGCATGGAACTTAGCAGGAAGCTTTAGCTGATTGCCAAAACAGTCCTTGATTTGCATCCCAGGGAGCAAAGGAAGGTCCAGGCCTTACAGAGTATTTCCTTACTTTGCCAAATGTAAATGGACTAAATATTGTAACTATAATTCTTGCTTGATAACTGTTTTGTTGTATGTAATCTTACTATGTTAAAGTTAAAACCTTCCTTAATTTAGACAGAAAAGAGGAGGTGATGTGGAATTCCCCTCTGTATGCTGTGAATGTGTTTTGTTACCATTGGTTAATGAATAAAGCTGCTTTTGCTTACTGGCAGGGCAGAACACAATAAGGTGGGAATTCCAAGCAGAGATAGAGGAGAATGTAGGCGGAGTCAAGGTGATGCCATGTAGCCCCTGAAGGAAACAGATGCTAGGAACCTTATCAGTAAATCACAAGCCTTGTGGTAAAATACAAAATAATAGTAATGGATTAATTTAAGATGTAAGAGTTAGCGTGTATGCATTTTTCTACCTCTGCTTAATATATTTTGTATACTGATGCAATTTCAGGATATACTTATCATATTGTACTATACATTTTTACCTCCGTTCAAGATACTTACTTATACATTGTTTACATTTGAAGGTCATTGTCCTCATTTGCTGCACAGTTGTTTAGATTGTTTAATATTTTAATATGAAGCCTTAGTCTTTGAGCTATATAGGTATTAAGAATTACAGGTCAAGCCCAGCATGCCCCTCTGCGGGCCCTACCGGCTGCGACTCCGGGCTTGGCCCCGTCCTAGCTCGGCAGTGGTGTACTGGGAGCGTGGAGGCTGTAGTCACGGTGGCACCCGCGGGGACCAAGGAGGGAATGAGTGAAGAGGAGCAGGGCTCAGGCACTACCACAGGCTGCGGGCTGCCCAGCCCGTAGAGCAAATGCTGGCTGCCAACCCAGGCAAGACCCCGATCAGTCTTATTCAGGAGAATAGGAAAGACGCCCGTGTACGACCTTCTCAAAGCCGAGGGCCAAGCCCATCAGCCTAATTTCACCTTCCGGGTCACCGTTGGCGACACCAGCTGCACTGGTCAGGGCCCCAGCAAGAAGGCAGCCAAGCACAAGGCAGCTGAGGTGGCCCTCAAACACCTCAAAGGGGGGAGCATGCTGGAGCCAGCCCTGGAGGAAAGCAGTTCTTTTTCTCTTCTAGATCCCTCACCGCTTGAGGACGCACCTGTCATTGCTGCAGAAGTTGTCGCTCCTGTTCCATCTGCTCTACTAACCAGGAGCCCTTCCATGGAGATGCAGCCCCATGTCTCCCCACAGCAGTGCTCTGCTGGTGCTCTGCAGGAGCTCGTGGTACAAAAAGGCTGGCGTTTGCCAGAGTACATGGTGACCCAGGAGTCTGGGCCTGCTCACCGTAAAGAATTCACCGTGACCTGCCGGGTGGAACGCTTCGTTGAGATTGGCAGTGGCACGTCCAAAAAGCTGGCAAAACGTAACGCAGCTGCTAAAATGCTTCGAGTGCACACAGTTCCTCTGGATGCCCGGGATGGCAACGAGGCAGAACCTGATGACGATCACTTCTCCATTGGCGTGAGCTCCCGCCTGGATGGGCTTCGGAACCGGGGGCCAGGCTGCACCTGGGATTCCCTGCGCAATTCTGTGGGAGAAGATTCTGTCCCTTTGTAGCTGCTCTGTGGGCTCTCTAGGGACTCTGGGCTCTGCCTGCTGCAGTGTCCTCAATGAGCTCTCTGAGGAGCAGGCTTTCCATGTCAGCTACCTGGACATTGAAGAACTGAGCTTGAGTGGGCTCTGCCAGTGCCTAGTGGAGCTGTCCACCCAGACAGCCACTGTGTGTCATGGTTCTGCAACTACCAGGAAGGCAGCCCAAGGTGAGGCTGCTCGCTGCTCCCTTCAGTACCTCAGGATCATGGCAGGTAGCAAGTAGTACCCTGGCTGCAGTGATGGATGTGCACCTTTTACCTCTTGCTGCTCCTGACCCTGGCCTCATGCATCAGCATAGCTCTGGAACCCTCCAGCCATCTCTACCTCTGGCACAGATTGCCTGCCTTGAGACTGAGGAAGGCATAGGCAAGCGAGGGCCCCAGCCAGCACAGGATTTGCTCTAATTCTATGGATGACAAATGAAAAGTAAATTGGAATTCTAATGGATTCTAGAATAAATGCTGCTCATCGGCTTCCTAAAAAAAAAAAAAAAGAATTACAGGTCAATAGTCATCCATGTTTGTCATATTTATATTTAATCAGGTTCTTTAGATGCATAGAGATTATATTTCACATAGGTTGGTAATCTTCATCCAGTTCAAAGAACTGTAGAATATGGTATTTAAACAACCTAGGATTCTGTTGATGTGATACACGATTGTTCCTGGCAGCACTGATCTATTCCAGAGAGAATGTTGACCACTGAAAACACTCCACTTGGAGCTTGTTTTCTTTGCACTGGTCTTTGGGTAAAGAACTGCTCCTGCCTTGACCACTGACAAAATGCATGGTGTTCAGACCGGACAAGTAGGATACAAACAAAAAGACTGCCAAACCTTGCCAAGACAGGGTAAGATGGTTTTGAAAATTTTCCTGCCTCTGAAAATGGTCTGTCAGTTACTCTAGGCCTTAGCCAAAGTTGTTTGCCCCAACGTTGCAAGTGAGACTTTGGGTGATTGCTCAGGTAGCCACTTGTCTCATGTCTGTTATTTCCTGTACCTTTTAGAAGTTGCATGATTGCATTTCCTGTTTACCCAAGTAATATTATTTCCCTTCTCAGGTCTTTTATGGGGTTGAAGACTAGATAGTCATAGTTACTTTCCTCTCAGGACTTAGCCAAGCCATTTCCAATATAAGACTTAGACTCCTTAGGACAGGATAACTATTGAAACATTTAGTATATGTTTCATGCTTGATGTTGTTCATGCTGGTTGTAATTCTAATTTTTATACTTGATATTTGTTCTTATTGTATATAGTTTCATATTGGGCTTGGACCTTTCTTATTTTGACAAAAAGCGGAGATGCTGTGGAAACTCCTTCAGCCAATGGCCTCTTGGATCCTGACCCACTTTGGGTGTGGTCTTGTGTACTATAAATGCAGACATAGGGGTATGAGAAAGTCCCTTGGCTGCTAAATTCATTCCCAGTATCTAGAGCATGCAGAGGACTGAGGATCACTATTCTGTGAGTTTACCCCCAGATAAATAAACCTGTTTTATACTCCACTCTGGGCTAGTGTGTAACTATTTTAAATTGTAGCAGATCTGTGTTCTCAGTTCTTTGTGGACTATTCCTGGGAGTGGAACTGCAAGGTTCTTGAGTTTATGACTAATGTTTTGTTTGTTTGAGATAGTGTCTCACTATGCAATGACAGCCGGCCTAGAATACACTAATCATATGACCACCACACCCATTGTGATTAATCTTTCAAGGAACATTTGCCTTTTCATAAGCACTTCAAAAGTCTTATTTATTCCTTCTTTTTTTGTGTGGCTTTTCAAGACAGGGTTTCTCTGTGTAACAACCCTGATTGTCCTGCAACTCATTCTGTAGACCAATCTGGCCTCAAACTCACAGAGATCCGTCTGCCTCTTCCTCTGGAGTGCTGGGATTAAAGGCGTGTGCCACCACTGCCTAGCATCTTTGTTGTTTTTCAGACAGTGTTTTCCTATGTGGCACAAATCAGTCTCAAACTCATGGCAATCCTGCCTCAGCCTCCCGAGTGCTGGGATTACATGTCACACCTAGCTTTCTCAAAGTACCGTCATTTTCAAAATAAGCCACCATCCCAGTCTTCCCAGCTGAACTGTGTGTACTTTGAGAACAGAGACTGGCCTCACTCCTTTGTGTAATTCCAGGACTATAATGCCTCACTTGATTGAATGAGTAAATGAATACATGTTCTAGATCAGGGCTATCCACATGTGCTAGCTCCTGAAAAATAGCTGGTCTAAATTTAGGTGTGTTCAAAGAATAAAATAAGGCATGTGAAGAAAAGAAAAATGTTTCATTGATATTTTTATATTGATTAAATGTTGAAGCAATAATTTAACCCAGTATACTTGAAACAGTATGTGGTATTATCAAAATTTTTATCAAACCCTGATTTTAAAAAATCAAAAAATCTCTTAGTATACTAATTCTTTCAATTAAAAAATGTTCGTGTGTGTTGCTAGGGATGAGCCCAGGGGCCTAAGCACAATAGGCAAGTGTTTTGCCACTGAGCTCCATCCCTAGTCATAGCTTTCTGAGGCCAGGGTGTGGCTATGTAGCCTCAGCTGGCCTAGAATTAAGATATCCCTGCCTCAGACTCTAGTGCTGGGACTACAAGCATGCACCATTGCACCCAGCTTTTTCTCTGTGTAGCCCTGGATGTCTTGTAACTCTGTAGACCAGGCTGGCCTCAAACTCAGAGATCTACCTGCCTCTGCCTTCCAAATGCCTGAATTAGAGGCATGCACCACTGGGTGGTGTGCCCATCTTTTTAATGCATGGGAAATTGAAAAAAAGATTTGTATTTTTTTAAAGGTTTAAATTATTTACTTTTGTGTGGAAGCAGAAGTGCCATGGTCTTCCTGTGGTGGTCAGAGAACAATTGAGTAGTCATTTCTCTGAGGATTGAACTCAGATGTCAGGATATAAAGTAATTATTTCTACCTAGTAATCCATCTCATTCTGCTATTATTATTTTTAAGATTTATTTTTCATGTAATACACACACACACACATATGAATTTCTGTCTTCATGAATACCAGAAGAAGGAATCTGATCCCATTAGAGATGATTGTGAGCCACCATGTGGTTGTTGAGAATTGAACTCGGAACCTATGAATGAGCAGGCAGTGCTCTTAACTACTGAGCCACCTCTCCAGCCCAATATTGTGGGTCCTAAGAAGTTTTCATATTCTTTTTTTTAAAGATTTATTTATTATGTGTTCTTCCTGCATGTTTGCCTATGGGCCAGAAGAGGGCACCAGATCTCATTACAGATGGTAGTGAGCCATCATGTGAGTGCTGGATCTTTGGAAGAGCAGCCATTGTTCTTAACCACTGAGCCATCTCTTCAGCATTTAATTATTTATTCTTCTTTTATATGTATTGGTGTTTTGTTTGCATCTATGTCTGTATGAGGGCATCAGATCCCCTGAAACTGAGTTGTAGTTAGTTGTGAACTCACACGTGGGTGCTGGGAACTGAACCCAGATCCTCTGGAAAAGCAGCCAGATCTCTTAACTGCTGAGTCACCTCTTCTTCCCCCTATTTTTATTATTTTTAATTGTGTGTAGGGTATGTGCATGCAAGTAAAGGGACCAGTGGAGGCCAGCAGTGTAAGATCCTCTGGAGCTGGAGTTACAAGCAGTTGTAAGCCACCTGACATAGATGCTGGGACTTGAACTTGGATCCTCTGTAAGAGCACTATATATTCTAACTACTGAGCCATCTCTCTATGCCATCTAATGCTAGAGTTATCAGAAACTTTTAAATTGCATTATGTGCTTGCCTTCCAGCTTCTGGAATGCCACTCTTGGTCTAAACCATTCTTTACACATTAGTTAGGAGCCCATGAAATCAAATCATATATAGTCAAATACCATTATTTAAGGTAGCTATACTCTATGATGTTGCTACAAATTAGTAAGTGCTGAACTATTGCTTCTAGGAGAAATATAGGGTTAGGATTCTGTAATCCTTTGGTTACAATATCTTTTTTTCTTTGTTAACTAATCAGTATACAACTTTGTTTTATGAGTGTTTATGTTTATTTGTTTTTGCTTTTCAAGACAGGGTTTTTCTGTGTAGCTCTGGCTCTCCTGGACCAGGTCTGTAGACCAGGCTGGACTTGAACTCACAGAGCTCCACCGGTCTCTGTCTCCTGAATACTGGGATTAAAGGTGTGGGCCATCACCACTCAGCAGAATGTTCATGTTTAAAGATACTTTACTTAACATATATTATTGGTTCTGTTTAATTAAACTTAAAGCCAAGCCTATACAAACTCATCTACTAAATTTTCACAAGGCAGCCTCAGGCAGGCACAGATCCATACTCATACAACAAAGGAGGGCAGACACAGAAAGCATGAAGTGGAGAGTTATAACCTGAACTTGCTCTTGATTAAATGACTCCAAGGAGGAGTGGTTTTACTTTTTCCTTAATGTGACACTAATGTTTACTGGTGATTCAGAGTTAATCACTAATGAATATAATCTCCACAAAAGACAGCAAATCCTTTTTTACCTCGAAACACTAGATAGCAATTCAGCCCTACCCTTAGGGCCATTTTAAATAGCAAAACCACTAACCAACACTTATACACCTAATAAAAGATATTTGTAACAGGTTGCTCATACTTAACACGGGCTAAGAATGCATAGGATCCATACATCCATGAATAAATGTGAAAGCACAATTATTGGTTTTATAATAGAAATCTATGTTACTGAGCAGGTGAAATTTGACTACAAAACCTGTCAATAATGAAGATCAACTGTAATTCTAATGTTTAATTAAAACTCGTCAACACGTGATGGCTCCCTGCCTGTATTCCCAGTTCTTGGCAGGCTGAGGAAGGAGGACGGTCAGAGGCTATCCTGAACTAAACAGTGCACGCAAGGCTATCCGCAGATTCAGAGGGACACCCCGTCTCAAACACACAAAAGAAGGGTTAGTGGGATGGCTCATGAGTGTTAGTCTGTCAAACCTGAACACTTGACTTTGATAGTCAAAATCCACATGCTGGAAGGAGACCTGGCTCCTGAAAGTTGTTCTTGACCTCCCTCCGCAAGTGCCCAACACACACACACACACACACACACACACACACACACACACACACACACCAAAAGGAAAAGAGGAGAGAGCCGGTCAAGGATTTTAGTTTTTGCCTGTAATAAACCCAAACTCCTTCAATGGCCCTGGTGACTTGGATCCAGCCTACCTTTCAGAGTTCTCACCTTGCTGGCCAGTGTCTTTCAGTTCTTGCTCATCTAAAGCCAGTTCCTTTCTGTCTTCACAACTCCCCCCACCATCTCCATTCCTAACTTTCCTGCCCACAGGTAACACTCTATAATTCTGCTGGGACGTTCCGCAGTTTGCCTTCGCAGCGCTGGGCATTTCGTGGTTTATGTATATGGATATGGGCTGTCAGGATGGAAGCTGCGAGGGCAGGGACAGCTGGGGTG